CCCCTCTCTACGCGGGTTCCCGGCCACAGCTCCGGCGCTGAGATCCTCCTCAGACTCACGGGCGAGTCCTGTCAAAATCCGTGATGACTTCCCGTGGAATTCCTGCGTCTCCCAGCGCGGCGCGGCGCTCCAGGAAATTCCTTCCCAAATAAACTCGGAATCGTTTCCCCTTTCCTTCCTTTTCCCGCTTTCTTTAATCCCGGAACGCGACTCACCTGTTATTTGTTGTTTTTCTCCGATTTGGGGCCGCTGCGCTCTTTTTAAAACTCCCTGTTTTCCTGCTCCGCTTCCTCCGTCTCGCCACCCGCTGACTTACCTGGGAGGCGGTCCGCTTGATTGACAGCGCCTTCAGCCAATCGGCGCGGCCGGCCCCTCCCGTCTTTTCTCCAGGTGTTTTGCAACCGGGCGAGCTGCTCTTAAAGAGACAGCGCGCCTATTTCCCCCCGTCCTGGACAACTACCGCCTCACTTCCGCAGGAACGCAGTGAAAACTCCCGATTAAAACATACACATCGATTTTCACATTCACTTTTGTTCGAGTGGCTTAGTTCCAGTCCTGTCAGACCAGGAGGACAGCTGGACCGGTGGTTCAGGTCCAGTCTTGTTAGACCAGGAGGACAGCAGGTTCGGTCTTGTTAGACCAGAAGAGCCTGTCCAGTGGTTCAGGTCCAGTTGAAATGGTTCTGGTGTGCCCCCAGTCCAGACCCCCAATGGACACAAAATAAAGCCAAAAATAAAACGACTCGAAAGCAACACAAGAGCTCAGAAGTGACCCCCCCCAAACTAAACATCACAGAATGTTGTCCTGTTCTAATCCATTCAGAACTGCAGGCGTCCTGCAGAATCGAGGTCCCCCACAGAACCCCTTCAGCAGTTAACCACTCGTTACCGGCGTCCGGCCGGCCTGGTGAAACCTGGGCTCGGCGTCTCCCCCGAGGGACGGAGCCCCAGCTCCGGTCTTCATCGAGCTCCTAACCGGGAGGAACCGGGAGGAATTAACGGACACAGCGGGGTTCTGCCGGGCCCGTGCCACACCCGCCCAGGTTCAAAACCCACCTGCTCGGTTACTGGCTTGGCAGCCCTCTGCGGGAGAAAAGGTAGCTGCAGTAAGACAGGCAGCAGACAGTAACGACTGGGGAGCCCCTCCTCCAGGGGCGCAGTCACAAGGGGGCGAGAGGAAATAAAAACTCAAGTACGTTTGAATTAACTTTATTTATATTAATTACAGCCTTCAAAATTTCCACTCTGTTCCAGCGCTGGTCGAAGGAGGACAATTTAACTGGGCCCCACACTGTTCAACCCTCCCACCTCCTCCCCCCTCCGGTACCACCGAGCCCCTGTACTCCGGGTTCGACCCGCACGGCCCGAGGCCGGGATCCTGCCCCCCTGCTGAAGGTCACTCCAGGAATGCGGAAAGACCACCAGCCAGGATCTCCCATGGAAGAGAATGGAGCTCAAGTGCAGAGCCCCCCTGCCCGGACAGGAGCTGGGCCCCCCCCCCCCTCTGGGCGAACCGTGGAGGGGTCACGGAGAGCCCCACATCCCGCAGGGCCTTGAATGAACCCCTAACTCCAGAAGAGGATCTCAGCAGCCTTGGGACAGGTGAACTGTGAGGAACGCAGCAGGCCCATGGACACAGAGCGATTCAGAACAATGAAACCAGACGCCTGTTGGACCTCCAGGCTCCAGGATCCAAACACTTGTCGTCCTCAGGGCTGAGTTATTGAGAAACGGGCTGGATCAGGGCTCTCCAGGAGCAGGCAGGCGGAGCCTCTGTGGGGCACATCTGTCTCAGGCTGCGTTAGTCAGAAAGGCTGCACTGGGATACAGGGGCACACAATCGCACCTCTGCGGTCACACACAGACGCACGCACAATCGCATCTCTGCGGTCACACACAGACGCACGCACAATCGCATCTCTGCTGTCACACACAGACACACGCACAATCGCATCTCCGGGGTCACACACTGACGCACGCACAATCGCATCTCCGC